TTGTCTACTATTTTCAGGCACCATATTACTATTGCCAGAGAAGACATAAAAATTTAATAAAAATTAAACTTTTAAAGTAAGCAAAAAAATCCACCAAATCCATGGATAAAATAAAATTGTGCTATCTTACTAGATGAAGAATATAATTAAAAATATATTTTATTTGCTCCTTCATATTTTTTAAGGGTTTGTCTTCAGTACTGGGACTGTCTTATATATAGCCTCTGTATAAATAAGCTAAAAAATAATTTGAAAGTAAATGAGTAAAGAAAAATTGGGTACTTTTTTCATGTGATATGTATAACTGTTGATGAAATTGCTGATCTAAAACTAAACTAAATACTTCTGTTTGTAGATTCCATTTTAGAAGTATTGGTGTCACCTAATATTTCAGTTTTCTGTACATCTAAGCATTTAAATAAGTTCTATATGATGTTTACACTTAAAAAAGAATACCTACCTAAAAAAGAATACAGGGGATACATGTGTATGTCTACAATTTTTTTTTTATGTTGGCAATATTTTTGTGAGCTTGGGCACTATTCTGCAGTGGGATGCTTGTACAGGACTGGAGGATGCGGCCAACAGAGCTCACCTAGTAGCAATCAGAAGACATAATTTAAACCCAAGCTTTTAACTTGCCATCAAATGAGACATACTTGAATTCCAAATTTTTGAATTCCACATATGTTTTGATAATTATTACCTAATAGTCAGCATTGGATACCTCAAAATACAGATAGAAATTGCTCAAACCTCAGAAATATCTGCTGTATGAAACTTCTGTTTCATAAAGGCCTGTGGGTTTTTTTGTGCTTTATCTTTTGAACCTTACCACTTGTATGTGCACTACTTGTGTAAGACTTATTTTGTCAAGTTAGAAATTTAGCAACAAGCAAGGATGATTTTTATTTAATGTTTTCTTTTCTGTTCAAAGATAAATATTTTCTCCTTGAACTTTCTTTCTTCAGTGTGGTACAGAAGAGGAATTCAGGTACCTTTTTGTTCATATGAGTTTTGCAAAAGCAGAAGAGTCATTGCATGTACTGTTATTTCATGTGTATGTCATGATCTTTGAGCTTTCAACTTTTACCCTGTTGCAAATCAAGTTTCCACTAGCACAAGCAGCTCCTGAAGCAGCCACTTTGGCCATCGTCAGCCTACCTGGGTTTCCTGAGGATGTTCACCCTGTGGTTTCACAGATTCTGAAACAGGAAGCAATTTAGTGAATTCTATTCACTGGAAGGGTCAAATGCCCTCTACTTAGAAAAAGACACTGACCTAACAAGCATGACCAAGTGGAAATAACTTCTTGTGTTTGCTGCTCAGCTCCTTTATTGTCTTTCTTACATTGTGTTGAAACATGTTGTGTTGTTTCTGCTGGGGCTTTACATTTTTCACAGCACTACTCCATTCAATAGATGTATTATATGAACACAGTCAAAATTTCTATTTAATAACTGTAAACAATTCATAATTCAGTATGGACAGATCTGCATAAAGCAGTACTTCTCTCATTCTCTATTCATTGGAGAGGAAGCTGTGCAAATTAGGTGTGCAGTTCCAATTGACAAGCTCAGGACTCTTGAAGTTGCTCTTTAAGCTATGTGAATGATGACAAGATTCTTGATTTTAAAACCAAGAACAGTTGCTTTCAAAGCTATTTTCCCCTTATTACTGCTGTGGGAATGAATAAAGATTGAGGTTTTCTTCCAGAAACACAAAAGACTGAGGTTTTTTCCAGTACATTTTCCCTCTTCTAGATGCAGGAACAGAACTTGCAGAGGTTTGTAACTATTGCTTCATCACTATACTTTTCAGTGAATAAATATTGCTCATCGATAAAACCTCAGGCAGACGGTCAATAATGGTTGGGTATTAGGTAAGGCTACAATGAATGTCTGGATAAATTTATAGGTTCAAGGAAAAGACAACAGAAAACTCTGAAGTCTAAAGACAATAAGCATTCTATAGGGATTAGAGCCAAGTTGTTCACTGGATAGCAGGTATCTTCTTACCCTTTGGGAAACCTAAGAGTTATGTGGGATTTTATTATTAGAAATGCTAAAGAACAGTTATGTCAGCAACATTATCTTGTCCTAAAGATTCTTGCTTAGTTCCATATATAGTTTTATTTAGTCCCATTGGAAAGCAAAATAGATGTTTGTTTGCTAGGATTTATAATGAGTTATACCTTGCACCAGAGGAAGTTTCTTTAAAACTTCCAAATGTTACACATGGTCCATAGAGCTAGATATATGTGCCAAACCATCCTTTAACAGATTATGAACTTGGTAAATACAAAAGCAGGTCAACAGTGGTGATGATTATGAACTTGGTAAATACAAAAGCAGGTCAACAGCAGAAGTCATCCTCTGAGATGGTTTTCACATAGAACTCCTTTTTTCTATTTCTGTGGTTTGAATTTAATTTTTTTTTCTTTACTTATAGTACTGGACGTGCCTTTTTTTTTTTTTTTTTTTTTTTTTGGTGACACTTAACAGGTATATTATCTATTTCTTTGTAGACCTGAGAGTGAGTTAGACAGCTAAAGAAAAAAATATCTGAACTTCACATATCTAGGCAAGAAAGAGAATTCCTCATTTGTCCCCCTGCATTATAAGGTCACACTTGAGAGTTTATTATCACACTGGATTTTTCTCCCTCTCCTTGTGTGTTCACAGCCATTTAATTTGTCTGCCAAAACTACTAGAGAATCTTTATTTATCCTCTGTCTGCAATAGGTACCAAATGTAACATTGCTAGAGCTCATTTATGTTTTTCCTGGAAAGTTAGAAGCATAACAAATCTACTGCAGAACAGTCTTTCAGTCCATCTGAAATGTTTTCAGAAGCCTCTCATTGCTCACCTGTTTTGACTTCCTTTGCAGTCAGTTCTGGACAGCAGAATATGAGTTAGTGTTGTTTTGTGCCTGAGCAGCCTCCTTGACTGCTGCTCTTTACAGTTCCATCAGGGAGGTATGAATGACGTGTGTAAGAGTGTTTTCAAGTATAGAAAGGTCCTGGAGACTGCTTGTACACCAGCACTAACATAAAACTTTATGTCCTGTAAAATGTATAACTCAAGCCCATGTTGCAAATGTCTTTATAATTATCTAGTTCATTAAAAATTATCATGATATTTGACTCATAGGCACAGGATCCCTAAGATACAAAATATCATTCTTGGGAATAGTGGGAAAAAGCACATAAGCTCACCTTATTTTTAGTAGGAAAGGAGTGTGTTAAACCTGAACATTCCCTGAACCTGCATAATTAGAATACCCAAATATCATTTAGTCATTAACTATTGATGTCTTCATAGATATGTAGAAATGGAGTCCTATTCATTACTGTTTTCTGCTTATATAACACTCAGGGGACTTAAGGGGTCTCTTGGCAGCAGGGAAGCCTTGAGAGAAAGGTAATTTAGACAGATGATAACTGTTGTGTTAAAAGGAAAGTATTTCCAACATTTGGAAAGGGCCATTGAAGAATATGATGAGTTGGCTTTTGTTTGTTTTGCAGATCACTGTCAATGATTATCAATAAGGTTTTTTTGTACATATTTTTTACTAAGGTCTAGAGGTTGTTCAATGAAAGATATTCATGTTCATTTTCTTTAATATGAGGGATTTTTTTTTCAAAGATAGAAGTAGAGTTATCTACCCAAAAGACTAGTTTAGGAAACTTGGAAATGGTCATATTCCAGCACATAAATGGCAGAGCCAAAGTGGAGTTGGAGCTGAACTTAGCAAGGGATGCAAAGAACAACAAGAAGTGCTTCTACAGCTATGTCAGCCAGAAAAGGAAGGTTAAAGAGAGCAGTACCCCTCTGAGAGCAATGCTGGCAGACAAATGAGGAGGAGGCTGAGATGCTCAGCAGTGGTTTTGTCTCAGTCTTCTATGACAGTCTCTTTCCACACCTCTCCAGTGGATGGACTGCAAGATGGGGACTGGGGGAAAACGAAGAGGGACTTTGACCAATTTGCTAGGGGAGTCCAAGGTAACTACATGAAATTCAACAAAGCCAAGAGCAAGGGGCAATCTCCAGCATCAGCAGTCTGTGGGATGAATGGATGAAGAACAGTCCTGCTAAAAAGGTCTTGCAGGTGCTGATGGGTGAGAGGCTGGTCATGAGCTGGTAGTGTGTGCTCACAGCCCAGAGAGCCAAATGTGTCTTGGGCTGCATTAAAAGCAGTGTGGCCAGCAGGGCGAGGGAAGGCATTCTGCCCCTCTGCTTCACTCTCATGACAACCCAGCTGGAGAGCTGTGTCTGGCTCTGGGGTCCTCAGCACAGGAAGGACATTGAGCTCTTGGAGCACTCCCAGAAGAGTGCCATAAAGCTGATTAGAGGCATGGAGAACTCCTCCAAAGAGGAGAGAATTGGACTGTTCAGCCTGGGCAAGAGGAGGTTCCAAGAGAAACCTTATTGCGCCCTTTCACTACCTGCAGGAGGCCTAGAAGACAGCTGCTGAGGGATTTTTTTTTGCAAGAGCATATTGTAATAGGAAAAGGAGTAATGGCTTTAAATTATTTAGGTTAGATAGGAGAGTGAGGAGGCACCGGAACAGGCTGATTAGAAAAGTTGTGCAAGCATTCAAGGCCAGGTTGGATAGGGATTTGAGCAGCCTGGTCTGGAGGAAGGTATCCCTTGGAACAGGATCATCCTTTAAGATCCCTTCCAAATCAGACCACTCAGTGATTCTAGTAAAAAAAATAATTAACTTGCTAGATGTATCATTTCAGAGTCTGTCCGCAGGATGATGATGTTTGCTTGACAAAAGAAGTCCTTTGGTTTATTATTTATTTCTCTCCTTTTTCTCCCTTCCCCCTGCTTTGTGCTGTTGAAAGGCAGCAATATATTACACAATTTTCTGGTATCATGATGGTACTCTGAATCAATAAATGAATGCTCATGTTGCACAAAGGATACTGAGCAATTTTATTTCATAATAGGATGCAGAAAGTGACCATACTTCGCATTTCCTGCCCTCACAGTGGTTTTTGGCTTTCAAGTCTCCATCAATCTAAAGAAAGTAAGAGTCAAGTGAGATACAAGAAGCAGTGAAGAGACATGAAAACTAACAAGAAGGTAGGAAGCAGACAGATCTATACCAAAGTTCAGGTTACAGTCATACCTCTGTCTCCATGTATGTTGTCACACCACCCCCAAATTCTTCATATTGAAGAAGCTATTAACATCTGAGAGACAGATTATCTGAAGCAAAGACCTCCACTGAGCTCTGCATCACCACATTGCATTTAATTAACTAGCAAAACACCCTGAAGTAAAATTGAATTAGTATCTCTTAAGCTAAGGAAGGTGAAGAATTTCAGACTTAATTTGCCAAATGGTATTTCATTATTTCAAAGGCAATGTGAAATTCTTACATAAAATCAGTTATGGCCAACTTGGTCATTGATATGGTAAAATTCTTGAATGTATCTGTGCCTTAAGCAGAATTTCTTCTCTTTTGGACAAAGTAAATTGACATAATTTGCAGAAATTTTGTACAACAACTCTATGGTGACTGAGACAAATTATGTGCAATACCCTGTAAGCAAACAGACTCAGCGTTTCGCTCTCTAATTGGATGGGTGAGATAAGTTGTGAAGTTCTTGCTTTTCCTTTACTCTTGGAAAGTCCTAATAAAGATGTAGGAAGCTGCTTTGGAGTGCTGAAGGATGTTTTTGCTTACCTTCTGTCTTCACGTTTGTTTTTTTTTTTAATGTATGTAGTATATATCACAATCTATCACTCAGTTTCTACTACAGAAGCAATACACTACCTCTTTTTGGAATAAAGTCAGCACACAGGTATATGTTCACAACTGACTAAATACATTGAAAAGACAGTTTCCATACTGAACTTCGCCATTCCTGTTGTTTTTATAGACTGTTACCAGCATATAAATAGACATTTGTATTTTAAACATGGAATGTGTCTAAAATGTTGTCTTTTTTCATTCTTTTATAGTAGCCAAATGACACATAAGCTTTTTCTATTGAAGGTTTTTCTATTGACATCATAATGGTTGAGAAGTCAAAGGAAATGTAATATATAGGAATATTCACAATATGAGCTCAAGTTGTATTTTTTAAAATAGATCACAAGTCCAATAACCTCTGATTCCTTTCCATTATAACATCTCAAATACTGTCTTCTAAAAAAAGAGTTTAGAACACACCTTTTATCTGTGTAATTCTTTAAATCCCATATGCAGCTAATGCTGATCTTCATTTGAATAGGGAGGTATAAATACCTATGTGTGGAAAAAAAGTTACTGTCATTACACCTGATTTTGAACTTCCATTTCTTCAGTTAGGAGATGATGCCTGCACAAATGATAAGAGAATATGGTGGAAGCTGTAAAATTGTTAGGTAAGTTGGCATTTCCCTTCATGGAAGAACTTACGCGTATATAACTGTGGTGTGCTTTCATTATTATTCTAAAACCTGACTGTAGAATGTTCATCTTAATATTGGAATTATTACTATTTTGTATTTCTATCTGCAGTATTTCCCCTCATGTTCTATCCAGTTGCCTTTAATCTGTGGGCCAGAGGGTGAGTTGTGTGCAAAGATGAAAGATTTGGGGTAGTTTATTATGGAAAACAGATAATTCTGAAGAAATATTAGGTCTTCTATACATAAAAACTTAATGCCCAGAGAGGTCTCTGGATAGGGCAAGAAGTAATGTGGTTAATTTGACCATCAAGAACAACAGTCTTGCTCTAAGGGACAGTTAAGCAGTGGAGCAGTTTGCCGAGAGAGGCTGGATTTTCTGTTGCTAGAGATTTTTTAGAAACTTGTTAGACAAATATGTTAGGTGCGAGGTTTGTGCCACTGGTTACTCAGAACATAGGATGCACAAGACAGACTCATGAGGTGTGTTCCTGCCCTATTTTTGGTTTCTTCTATAAAGGTTCCAGGACAGACTACATGAAAATCATTACTAAAAATCTATTAAAACAATTACAATCACTTTACCCAGCAAACCATCTCTTTTAATTTTTTTCAGAGATGGCTTGGTTTACTGTGGCCTGATAGGTTCTATTAAATTGATCCTTGCCATTTATCATTCACCATCTGGTCTCTCCTAAGTGTTTATATATTGATTCCTTTGTTACTTAAATCTGACCGGGTAAGAAAAGGAAGCAGTTATCTTCTGTTCAGAGAAAACAAGTTAACCAACACCTGTAGCATGGACCCTGCAATTCTTACTGAGTTTTTATGTTGAGAAATCTGTCCAGCATTTTCAGTAGTCTAGTCAGTGCTGCTTTGCTGTCCTGAGTAATCCCTCACGTCTCACCCTACAGCAGCCTTGTGCCATGCAGTTGGCTTTAGATACCCTTGACAGGATTTACATAACCTCCACCACCCCTGAGAGGAAGTGTTTTCTTTAAGCTGCACTTGAGGCCCTTACAATATCACAAGTTTTAGTCCTTGTCACATGGACATATGTCACACAGACATTTGTTCTCTCTAGCATTAATATGAATGTCTTGAACCCAGAAGTATTGTATTGTAGTGTAACCCTATGAAAACTGGAAAGGGGTAAAAAGACAAGAACAATTTTTCTCAGCTAGCTACAAGACCTTGAAAATAGAAGAAAAATCTCAGCTGAAATCGGCTTTAGATTTTATAAACCATTCATGTGAAAAACATTTCCTAAGAATCTTTCATACCATCAATTTTTTATACATGGATGCTGTGATAAGCATTTTACATGAAAAATGCTTGAAGCAATTTCTGTTCTGAAAAAGGAAACATTAATTTAAAAGACAATAGAACAAAAACTTATGAGATTTTATGACGTTATTTTATTTTGGCATTCTTTGTTATTCTTGTCTTTTACAGTTTGAGTATCCATTCTCAGACTGACATTTTCAATCCTGAAATATAGAGTTAAGTGTTTCTTCAATTAGGAAATCAGATGTGTATTAATTTTTTGCCTGAGCTAGGCATTTCTTGCATCATATGTGTACAGTAGCAGTACATAATTAATAATATTTGCATTAGCAATAAAATTTCAGTAATTAAGATTTTATTTTTGCAAGGTGGGGGAACTTTAGAAGCCCTTATTGCCATCAGACAGTAATGTACCTGAAAATGAGTGCATCCTGTTGCAGTTCCTGTAAAGAATTAAAGAAATTCTTGTGGATTTATCATTTAAAATTAGTGAGTCCTATTTAATTAAATAGGCTTTTTAGAGGTGTTCTAAAACTACATAAACTTCCAGGAAAACTTGTTCTTCTGAATTGAATTACTGAACGTTCAAATGTTAACTAATAAAGCAGCTTTGCTTTAAAAATTACTGTGGCACATTTCTAATCATTAATTACTATTATCTATACAGAAATCAACTCCATTCCATTTACTTGTGTGCCACAATATTGCATGTTTTCTGAAGTCTTTCCTTCAGAATAACTGATGTAAAGCAGGAAAGTGGAACATTGAGAGTGGAGACATTGAAATTTGCAATGAAGTGTATTGACATGGTATAAGGTGTAGTGATATTAGTTTGCAACATGGAAGCACACCTGGGGTAAGTCTGCAACATCTATTCTTTTTTTATGATACCAAAATATTGTTGCAATGGAACTCAATTCACTTTCCTCTGCATATCCTCAACAATTTGTATTAACATGTCCAGTGAAATAGAGGGTCATAAGGCTTTGAAGCCAGTTTGAGGGAGTGCATCTTCAGATATCAAACCCTTCTGGTGCCTCAGACCCTGAGATTATCTGAAAGCTTCTCAAAGTTGCCTGACATCCCTTCATTTTAGCCCTGTTCTTCAGGGAAACAGTACTAAATTGGATTCTTAAAAATGCCTCTGTCACAGTGTGCATCCTCCCAGTGAAACACTAAGAAGCTTCTTATTGTGACTGGTTTATATGAATTGTCAAGAATTGCTGGAAACATGTTTATGATATGACACAAGGCAAGATAGTTGAATAATCAAAACTAATGCTTATGTTCTCTTCTTGGGATTATGTTTCTTTTCTGGATTTTATGGTTAAGGGAACAAAACACAATTAAGCACTGTGTGAGACTTAAGTAGGTAACCCTTTATGCCAAATTGCTAACCTACTATTAATGTTAAATATTTCCAGGGAACTATACCTTCCATCCCAATTAAGTTTAAAACAAGTAGCTCCCTATCTTCACCTACACGATACTACAAATTTAAAATTCAGTTATGGAGGCAAGTTTTACTCTAATTATTTCACACCATTTTATATGTGACATTAGGATAAATATTCCTTAGAGAAGATGTAGTGGAAGGTGTAAAAAAGTGGGATTTAATGGGATTAAACCCTTCTGAAATGAACAGAAATGTTTTCACCAAGTTAATATAGATATAGGTGAATATGTTGAATTGCACAAATAGAGCAGCTGAACAGTGACTGCAACAAAGATTAATTTGTGTCCATCAGCTATGTTTTTCTGCCAAAGCGGTGACATTCAACCAGTTCAGTAAACCTTCTTAAGGCTAAAACAAATTGAAGTAGTCTGAAATGCAAAATTTTTCATGTATTTGAAGGCTTTTGTTGTCTACAGTGCACTGAATTTTTGAGCACTGTAGTCTTTTAGAGAATTCGACTTGATGGACATGGAGATTACATTGTTTCCACAAAAAATACATCAAAATTTTCCACTTTTCTGTGTATTTAGTGGCTACAATGAAATTTTAATTATCCAACAATGGATGCTATTTCAGTATGCAATAGCTATACATGGAAGTAAACTATTTGCTTCATGTGCATTATTATGCAATTATTTTTGAGATGAAGAGGTGTTTTAATGCTGAAGGTGAGAGGAGTTACACTTTCTCAAGTATTACACAATGACCTTTTTTCAAAGTCCTCTTAAGTCATCACTAGAGAGTTGATGATGCTCTTACAAAACACTCAATTATTGATTTTTAAGCACTTTTAAGATTCTTGAGATGAAGCTTATACGCTTGTATAGTTTAGAAGATGCACCACAACTTATGCTTTGAAAAAGATGCCAGATATTTATGGTTGTGTGTCACACATGAGCTCCCAAGGAAGTACTCTTCTAGTTGAAGTGCAGTCAAATAAAAAGAATAGAAAAAAGTGAAAACCTTTAGCAATAATTAACAGTACCTAAAAACATCAGTATTTAAAACTCTATAGACATAACAACATGAAGTAAAAATGGTACTTTTCCTTCCATATAATTTATTTCTTATGCTATTTCTCAGAATCCTTAGAAATTTTGGTGGAAAATTCCTTTAATTCTTTCATGGAGACAAATGTCAAAACAGAAAATGGTGTTTAGTCTGTGGCATATTGCAAATTACTTTTGATGTTGTTATTGTTTCATTGGGGTGGGGTTTTTTTTAGGGTTTTTTTGGTTTTTTTTTGCATTAGGGAACTTAGCATACAGCACAGCTACTGTATAATGAGGTTTTTATGTGGGAGTGTCTATGAAGTAGTGACGTTTTTACATGCTTGAAGAGATGTGGATTAAATTTCCCAAACAGGGAACACAATCTCATTCACATAAATGGATAATAGTTTTCTTTCAAACTGTAGACATTTATTATGAGATTTATATTTGTCATTAGACTTCTGAATATATGCTGGAAATGCATAGCCACTATTGAGTTCAATATGGGTTGGGAGTTATTTGTCCATCTTTAGGCATTTTTATATCTGTCAAAATCATAGTTTTAACTCTGAATAGAATTATTCCTTTCAAAAACATAAGGATTAAATCAGTTTTTTAATTTGTAAGAATACATGTTCTAAGCAAACAATTATTTTGCAAAAGTACATATCTAAATAAATTTCTGAAATTATTTAAAAATACTTCTGATTTTGATTTTTGGACTAAAATTCAGAGATTGTAGGCAGACACACTTCTATTCATTTATGTGTGTTGGGATGAAATTTCAAAAACCCATCATTTATATACCAATATATGAGGTGTACTTACTGAAGTGTAAGTACTGATTGTACTTACTGAAGTGTAAGTACTGATTGTACTTATAATTTTCAATTTCTGTTTGTACTAGCTTCCAGAAATATTTTAATAATTTTCTATTTCTTTGTTGATAATCTGGTCCCTAAAATATTTTTAAATAGAGTGAACTGTAATTTTTGATCACAGAAACTAAATCTGGTTTGGTTAAAATTGCATAGACAGGACTGAAGTGGAATAATTTACTCAGGAATTTTTCTTTTATGAATAATGAGAATTTTAAAATTATGACAATTGTTTTGCAGATTACTAAAAACACTATTAATGTACTAAATTTAGGATTACTATTGTAATTACTATGTTTAAATATGCTACTTCTCTTACAAAATTTTTGAAGTCACAATGGTCAGTTTTCATCAATTAATTATTCGAATGTTTTGTAAATATCTTCGTACATAATTATTTTCACATTGCATCTTTTTGGTAGAGGCTGGGTTGTGCAATATATCCGGGTGAATAGCAAGGATAGCTCAAAACTGGGGAAATCTTAAATTGGCGAACCAAAACCACTACAGGCAGATAATGTGATGTCACGTGTACAGACAGAATGATCAATTTCATGTCCATATGTCTAAAATACTGGATGTTTCTTCAGAGATTTCAGAGGAACAACAAGCCATATGTGTGATTTCATGACGAGAAATTTCCCTTGCAGGCTCTTATCTGTCTTGTTTCTCTGTAGCCTCTATGTCACAGGCGATTAACAGCCATGTAGTTTGGAAAAGGGACACTCGTGTGCTTTGGCCTGACTGCTGCATACTGGGCAGGGAAACCTTCCAGGTGAAAGGAGAGATTTGTTCTTTCCCATAAGCAAGTCATCAGGCATAATTATAGTAATAAGGTCGGCAAAGCCTTCTGGGGTTCAGCATAGAGTTGCTGAGGTTCTCATTTAAATAATATTGTTTATTACAGACATCCCCATGGTTAAAAATGTAAAGATTTTCATTTTCAAAGAGGAGAAATGAAAAGCACTCATTTCTATGAAGAGTTGCAGGAAGTTAGCCTTAAGATATTGGCAAAATCGGAATGACATTGTGCAGATAAATAACAGACCATTTTGTCAGATTCCATTTTACAGCTGCCTGTGCTGTTAAAAAATGGTTCTACTGCTTAAGAATATTACTTTTTTAAAAGTAAAAGGGCTTAAAGCTGCTTTTTAAAGTGCTTTTTTTAAAAAATAGAACATACTGAAACCTTTTCCCAGGCTTTTCTATTGAAAAAAACCCAACAAAACAAAGTCAACACCACCCAACTCAACAAGCTCTCCACACCAAATGTCTTTGTGGTGCTACCAAGGGCTGATCCCTGTTCTCTCAGCTGAACCTGGCTGTGATGTTGAAGGGCAGAGGGGGGTATGCTACATAGCACCCCAATTGTTATCTTGTTATGCAACAAGGACAGTGTGTAATTCTGAATAGCATTACTGGGCAAGGGTGACATTCTTGTAATCCTCCTACTTTTATGTCATTTGTCCCAGTAAATCACTCTCTAACTTACAGTCTTGCTGAGTCTGTGTGGTGTACTGGTTCACCACCTACAGAAATGAGGAGCTGCCTGAAGTGAAGATTATAACTGCAGGCAGTGGATGCTTGTTCAAATTCTCTATTATGCTCTATTGGCATTTCATAACAGAGAATAGATGGATTAAAAATGTCTGCTGATTACTATACAGCTGGGACTTTTTAACGAAACGGCTGCATACTTGTGGTACACCAAAGAGCTAAACTATGTTCTCAGAAGCACTTAAACTGTGAATCTATGAAGACTCTTATTTGCAGGGATGAGGTCCCAGCTTCTGTCCCTCAGTGTGCTGGGTTATGTTTCTTGTGTGGGTGATGTTTCTGGGAAGTATGGAAAAGTTCTGGGAGTCTGGTTGATGCTTTAAGTTTTAGCTTTCATATTTTCCAGATTCTGTACTGCTTTAGTATAGCTCTGAACTTCATATAAAGTGGTCACAAGTTCTCTTCACAGTTTAGTTAGACAAAACAATCCTTTTCCAGCCCAACAACCAAGGACACTGGCCCAAAAACTGTAAACAGCAAATTGAGGAGAGCAATCTGGGAGGATGGGACTTAACCTGTAGCTGTAATTGGACAATTAACCCCAACATGTAAATGGACCAAAACTTTAAAAGTTTTGTCCATCTTAGGTCCATCTTGAGTCCATCTTGAGTGTAGCCATGGCCAGGCTCTGGTACTGCCCAAGGTGTATCCTTTAAGACCTTTCTAATAAATACCTACTTTATTCCTTTAACACTGACTAGCCTCTGTTCCAGGTAGCCTCTCTAGGCCTCATGGTTTGATATAGTCAAGAAAAATACAATGCACTCTGCAGCTTTCTGTCTCTTTGTTTCTTCACACACATTCTGTCCAGCTGCAGTGAAGCAAAATACACCATATTGCATAGAACCATTACAAATATTTGAATTGCATTCTCTTTTCAATTTAAGGGCTTTGTTTACTCAAAATACTACATCAAATAGGTGAACTGGAACTTATAATTAACACAGCTTACCA